ATATAATACGTGAAGCCGTTTTTTGTTAACGCAACTCCTCCCTTATTTGTGGACTAATTTCAACGTTTAAGGTGTCAAAAGATTCTTCCCAATATGTAGTTTTGCAATAAGGTTTTAAAATTTAAAAATTCCTACTCTTAAGGGCGTGATACCCTCTCAAAGGTCGGGGTTTCCCCATAAGAAATACACAGAACAAATTTGAAAAAAAAAAAAACAGCTGTTTATAAAAAGAAACTCATTAGCTTTTTGGGAGTAAATATTAATGTTTGCAATATTCAGTAGATTAAGACCAAGTTAAAACGTTAATCAGTTTTGTTGGAAGAACAGAAGAAATATTGAAAACGGGAGTACTGTAGGAGAAAATTAATAATAAGATATCTTATGCGTATGAGATTAGAAAAAGAGAGGTCTGGTCTTACAGATACCCATCCATAAACACATTCACTTGGTGAGATGAATAATATTTACCAGTTCTGCTATGCAACTTACTTTGAAAGTGACAAAATATACGAAGCACATAGTGTTGTCACGGTGGTAAATTAAACTTGCCTAATGTCAGATCAAATGAATGAATGCAAGAAATGTTTACTTCTGACACTGACAGATCGAGATATTTCAAAACATTTATTAGAAACTAATAGTGCCTTGACTATGACTATGTTCAAGTAGTAAGGTTATACCAAATCTTGGCGGACATTATGTTTTTATTGTAAACTTTTGTATTACTCGCTCTACTGCAATTGAGAAAATACTCAAATGCATTGTTTATTTCTAGGTTATGTTGCCAGTTCCTCGGACAAACTTATACAAAGTTTTTTTTACTGAATTCACCAACACAATCCAGACATTTTAACTAAAAAATAAGGAGTTTCAAAAACCATTTTCCATATTGAAAGTTTTAGTGGCAATATTAGACCAAACATAAGTGAAGGAATTAGTGTTTATGTATTCAACAATCGAGTAGAGACGGTCAAGTTTATTTTTATAATTCGAAGGCAAATAATATACGCTGTTCAAAAAGAGAAAGTGAAAATTGCTATACAAATCTTATAGCTACAAGAGTTAAATCCAACCTATTTCGACAAATGAATCCATACTTTCAAAACTTTGGGACAGGTATTAAGAGAAACTCCACTGAACAACGTAAGAACGTTCTGATGCGAGGCATAGGCTACACTGAGACTGACGGACAACACGTTAAAATACGTTAACTAACTTTCAATTGTGTTGCTGCTTTAGCCTATTCAAAACAGATTATGGCTGTTCAGTTGGTAACCCAGAGTTTGTGGGTAAAAAATAGAGCACATGAAATGATTGATATCCATCCCACTTTTCGGGATTCTATACGAAAAAAATTGGTTGGCTTAGGGGAATGTCTCAAATAAAAGAAATAAAATGACCCAACATAAATTATTTAACACGGGTTATCAGTTAGTAAGGCAACAGTTTTCTTTAATTCTCAATGCTGGACAAACTTTCTTGCAACATGTTAACTCGAATTGAAGCAAAACGTTTAGCATTCATTAGAAGTTATCAGTTAAAACTGAGAGCAGACATAATGTAGGTGATCCTTGACGACGCAAATAGAGATATTTAAAATTAGTTTCTAGCAAGTTTTCAATCAGCTCTAAGATTTAACTAGAATTACTCGAATTTAAGCATAACGCTATCCTCGGCGTTATGTTTCATACTATGCAGCTCATTGAGCCGCACGGGTTCTCTAGTTTCTAGATAATCGCTGATTTTATAAAAAAAAAATAGCTTGGCATTATTTTGAAAATGTTTAAAATTTAAGCCGTATGAATTAAAATCCGTCACCAAAGGACTTCAAGTTCAAAAAGATTGAATAAATAGTTGTAAAATATAAAATGGAAGATTTTAAGGTGTAAAATGAAGTGCACTCATCTTGGCTTTATTTTTTGCATGTACAACTAAAAATTGTGTTTTCAGCTATTTATCATTTAATCTTTTTGAACTTAATAAAAAGATTTGGTTTTTCAGGATTGAATCAGCAGCCCCCAAGTTTTAGCGGATTGAGCACGGTTTTTAAGTTTTAGTGGATTTCTTGGCTGGTACTTGAATTGCACATTCAATCAGAGTAATGATACTTTTTACTCAGAGAAATGACCACTGAGCTAACCACTAATACAGAATTGCAAGACGTTGCCCCCATTTGAACTAATGGATCGAACACTGTGCTTAGTACATTCTAAATAGGGGAATAGGGAGTTGTGGGATTGTAATAAAGTAATGAGCCAATAAGCTGCTTGATTCCCCTAGTTGGGACTAACATAAAAATAATTGTACACCACATTGACTATCTAGCAGAGTTGCTGTGCAGTGCTACATACATCCAGTCGTATTTTTGGGTCACGTATTCCTGGAGCTACTCAGTAAAGTGTTATATTTCAATTGCAAACAAATACAATATTTGTAAATCATACTTACATGCTAGTTTCTGGTGTCATAGTTTATGAGTGTGGCTCACACTGTTTTATTTTTTTGTAGAGTAATTATGAAAATGTACATACATATTCAGAAAGAGAATCAGTGATATGTTTTGAAATAAATTTGAAGAAGGTGCCAAAACAATACACGACACAACATTTCAACTTAATTTATTTCTCCTCTATCATAAAATTCATAGCTCCACCCATCCAGTGTAAAGAATCAGAAATAGAAGATGGCAATAAAATACTGCATCTTTGAATGTAAAAGTATTTCGAACCCTAAATAAACTAAGTCTAGTACTTCAGGATAGTCGGATTTATACCTGGAGGAAATATTCAAAATGATTTATTAGATTTGGGCTTTGTAAAGATTGTCTGAGGGTATGGACAGAAATAACAACAAAAAATGACAAGGAATCTTGGTGTTGAAAATGGAAAATTTTTCAAATCTGATCTCAATAACTTACATATAAATTCAGCTTTTAATACCCATACATATGATCAGGTAGACTTTAAAGTAAGCTTTACTGATAGACTAACCAACTCAAGTAGACTTGTCATCCCATTGTAAATTTTGAAGCTCGTTTTCGTGTCTAGTTCATGTCTGGTGACACTAATCGCTAGTATCGACGAAATTTTGTTTGGATTATTTTAGGGTTATTTTATTATTTGTGCTTTACAGTTCGGTTTTATAACTGGGGACGAGATTAGTATGTTTTGTTCAAACGAGGTTTCAAATTATTGAAATATAAAAAAAAAAATGTAAACAAAACACGACCTCTACAGTGCAAGTGCACTGGATGGAACTAACAATAAAACTTCCTTCAGCTGAATCTTTTTAAAACCATTACCAATACGTGAGGATATTATTGTCGAATGTTTTTGGGATTGAGCTTATTTGTCTTGTACTTTTGGGACGATTAAAAATAAATACCGTATATGGAAACTAAACACCTAGTTCAAGACATTAACGACCCTTCTATGAGAATTTAGGAGCTCACTTGCCTTTTGCGGAGTTTGACAGAAGAGGCCCACGGAGAAACACCTCCGTTGATAATTGGAGAACAGCTCGGGTGAAAACTGACATGGGCGGGTTCTTTGAGAATTGCACATCCAATCAGAGTAATGATACTTTTTACTCAGTTCACTTTGTGTGTACTGAATTTGTCCACAGAGAAAACTTTTTAAAGAACAGTTTTTGTTAAGAAAATGATTCCTGAATTTAAGAGGGTTTATGTTAAATTTAAAATACATGTTTTGAGATTTTATTTTCAAATTGGACAGTAGTCAGTTGCCTGGAAACATTTCAGCACAGATGCATGGTATGCATGAATAGCACAGTTTTCCACAGCATGCAAAAACATTCAGTTAATACCTTACAGCAATTACTGTATTCATACTGATTTTCTGGTTTGTGCTGCTTTCAGTGGCTGCCATTTGAACTAAGGGACAAAATACTATACTTAATACATTCAAACTAGGGGAATAGGGAATTTTGGGATTGTAATAAAGTCATGAGCCAATGAGCTAGTTGATTCCCCCAGTTGGTACCAACATAAACAAATTTTACAGCACCTCAACTTTCTATGGGCCTACTTGAAAAATATTTGATGACATAAAATGTGGTTTTAGGTTTGTCTAAGAGTCAAAACAATATCACATAACCTTACAATTCACCACTTACCCATTAAAACCTTAAAAATCTGAATTGTTATTTCTGTCCACTAGTGTGACCTATAAAACAAATCATCATGACGGATTCAGTGTATATGTACGAAGATGCACTCAAAAATACTTGTTACTCTTACTTTTTCATCACCAAAAGCTCGTTTTAATAGTACAAAAAATGTAACCCAGAATTCTAATGTTACAAATAATATCGTGTTTACAAACGTTAGAAAAAAGTTAATAGTTATGTACAGTACTCGATTAAAAACCTCAACGAATATTTAGCAAAACTCTCTACAAATAAGTCTACAGAAATTAAAAGTGGCCTTAATTATATAGGGAATTTACATTGGATAGTTTGTTTGAGAGGATGATAGATAGGTAGTTGGGAAGTAGTAGTCATGATGTAAGAACAATTAAAGTAAATGGAAGATAAAATACCACAGTTTTAACATAAAGAAAGTTTGTATGATCAAACTTTTGATTATCAACAAAGCAGTGATGATACAATATCTTAGTTTACAGTAAACTATACAATTTCTTACTAAATAGAATTGATAAGAATATGTTTAAAATGTTACAATATTCGGGACCGGTTTTTTACCTTTAGCGACCTATTATTGTCTGACTATTCTTCATAAATGTACAAACAATAAATTCACATAATATATTACTGTAGTGAATCAGCTCTGTAATTTTTTTAAAACACAAATTTCATGAGATATTCAGAATAAAACATTACCAGTAAAACTTTTTTTTACGAACACACAAATGTCTAAGTCTGTTTAACAAAACTTCTAACAAATGTTATTAAAATAATAATATTTTTTGTACACATTATTTATAAAAATTAAAATTTATACTCTATACAAGAGAAAAATGAATAAAAATAGACACATCTACAACAATTATTTTTACAAATGGGAAACGGCCATAGTAAAACCATATACATCAACAAAAATATGGATTTTTGAACACTATGAATTGTTTGGTCAAAACTTTTTTAAATAAGGGAAATATAACTACAATGACAATTTTTGCGTGATCAGAATTTAAAAGAATAGTATTAAATGTATAACTCACACTGTTAATCATATTTTATTCATAGTGTGTGTATTTAGTTGCAAAATGTATACTGTATTTGAAATAATCCCTGAACTTGAGAAAAACAGGGTTTGGATGTAAATAAATAGAGAGAACAAAGACAAAACAAAATTGGAAGCATGTATGAGATCTAACATGTAAAAAAATCCCTACCCTAAAAGCTCAGAATCTTTCTACCCATTGAATTGTTTCTGTGAATATTATGTTTTGGAATCTATAAATCTCCATTTACAAAATTGTGCTTGGATTTCAGATTGCTGTTTTTCGCTTCTGTAGATAAAGTATTTATAAGCTACATATTGTTCTCTAATAGATTATAAGATGTAGGAGGACATTTTGTTGGTTCTTTGTTCATATTTCAGTTTTTCTTTCAAATTTTAGCAATGGATCTTCTAATTATTTTAATTATCATAAAGGCTATGGTTGCCTGTTAAAGTACAGTAATTTATGAAACAGCAACTAAAATAAATGAATGTTATATCTTTAACTTTGGATTGAAGTAGACATTCCAATATAATATTAGAGACGTAGCCAGTTTTACAAAAAAATGGACGTAGTCGAATTGAACCACCGACAGATGCAAAATAACTGATTTTTCTAAAATATGTTAACTTAGCCTATCAATAAAAAAAACTGAAAAAATAATTTATTTTTAAGCTAACATTTTTTCTGTCTCATAAACTATTAGAGTACGGTAACAAAAACTATGGGAAAAATAACACTCTAACACACTCAGTGGCTCATTCGAATAGGTTCTTTTTCAATAAATCGGCTTCAGCTGGTTGATATCTACTTCAGTATCAACAAATCAATGGTTATACATACATTTAAAAGAATTATTCAATATTAAAAAAAAAAATTTGCTTCAAAACAGCATTCTGAAAATATTTACAGATTCCAAAGAACAGTTCAGTCTCAGTCGCCTTGCAGTTTCGCTGGACTCAGAACCAGTTCGCGTTTGTCCGTACTCAACATCGGTGAGGTTGGCGCAGAATCTTCCAGCGCCTCCGAATCTTCTTCTTCTATTCTCGTCACAGCTCTGTTAATCTCTCCGTCATCAAAGGTCAATGTAGACTTGAGTCTGTTGAGTCGCTCTACGGAACCGTTCTCAGCCAAGAGTAGTTGTTCGTTGAACGAGTCTTCGCTGCTGAGGCTGTTGGTATCTTCTGGAGTATTGGCATGGCTGAGCTTGTTCATTTCTAGAAGATTCTCCGAGCTGACGATGCTCGGCACCTGGATCTGCGGAATGGGACGAGTCAGTTCCGAATCCATTCTGTTCTGTCCCGCAGGAATAATTGAGACCCGTTTCTTGTTCTTTTTCGGCTGTTCCAGCATGAACTCCTGCGCTGCCCGGCTGTAAGGCAGGTGTCTGGAACAAGTTTTAAAGATTAGGAAGAATTCATGCGTTAAGTTATAAGGATTTAAAGGTTAAATATTTCTTATTGTAACCATAGATAAAACACTATGTTTTATATATGTTGTAACTTACCATCTGGCCTTGAGTTTTCATTTGCCAGAGTCCAGTGCTTTCCAGTTCCTGTCTGCATATTTATGTCTCTGAGGTTCAGCCTTTTAAGTTTTTCTTCAAGATTGAAATTAATTTAGCTATAATACTGTTAAATGCACTCCCATTTAGAGACAAAGTCCACCCTGTTTTTCACCACGTACTCTAGCCTTCCTGTCACATATTACTTGGAACTATAACCCACATAGGGCACATTGGCTTTCTAAATCCCTTGTGGTTTATTTCATATGTGTACCACATCAGGTGATGCCATGTGAAGGGGAATCACTACAGACAAGCGAATGGGAGGAAAAACAATGAATGACTGACCGAAATAGTAGTTTTCATCTCTAGGCGCTAAATTGGCTCTTGGTACGCAATTGCGTTTCGATTAATACGCGAAAATAAGATTAAGTACCAAAAAGACACTTTCACTCCGTGTGATGAACAACTATTTTCATCATACTGAGGAAATAACCTTCCAAATCAATGTTGTTTACAAAGATAACTTTAAATATTGTGTGATAAGCAGTGTTTTCATAATGGACTGATACAATTTTTAGTTTAGCAAACCTAAAAGTTTACCATATGTTTTTGCTGTTACCCAAAAATGATTATTTTACTGACGATTTGGAAAACTAAATAACGGCTGCTTTCCGGACAGTATGATGAAAAAGTATTTGATTGGTACATTGTATGAGGGCATGTTTAAAACCTCCCTCCTCAGTAAACTGAGGATCCTATAAAGTCTTTAGAGGCCTCTTTGTCCACACCAGACAGTTGTATTGATGTTGCCATGAGGGTACATAGCATGCTTTGCAATCACTTTGATATAGAGGAAGATTGGCATCAGTTTGAGAAGACAGTTCAGCAAAGCTTTATAATTCTACTTATTGCACGTATAGTCTAATATTAGCCATGTCTCTAAACAGGCAAGCCTCACCAGTAATAAATTCTTTTTGGGCCACTATACAAGTGAACCATTGGTCATGGCAGGTCTAACCATAGACACATATCAACAAATAAGCACTGGCTTGAGCACCCAAGTCCTCTCCCTACAGCCATCTAAAGGGAGTAAACCACTGAAATTGACCCATCAGTGCAACATTGACCAACTGACTAATAGTGACTTTTGGGACCACATTCAAGATATTGTGTGTTGTTGAACTTATAAATGTCATCGGCTTATCCTCGAAGCTTGGAGGTGTACCTGTAATAGTCCGTAGACTTGTCCGCCTGGAAGCTATGTTTGTTGAGCTGTGCGCCGGGTGAGGCAGTGACATGTTTGCGCCGATGCCTGTGTCGGAACCTTCGTCTGACACAGCGCGTCGGACAGACACACAGGAATATACGGACTAGGCAGCACAGAACCTGTAATACAAATTTCACTCAGGATCAAAGTAAACTTTTAACTAAAAGTCAGGTCAGGAAAATAGTTAGTTTATTTAGCAAATCTTGTGACATTTGCATCCAATCGCCTCTCTTACTGTGTTAATTGTTGTGTTCATAAGTTGATGTAATCATAATAACAGGCCTATGTATAATCAAATCACTCAATAATCAACAGAGATAAATAAATAAATTGACATGTAGTTAAAATGTGCATAACATTAATAAAGTGATTTTAAAATGAACTAATACAACTTATAGTAGTAAAACAGTAAACACGTCGATGATTTAAAAATAAAAATTATGTTTGGGAAAAATTTGTTACATCTTGTACACTTACCCCGCTGCCAATGAGTGTGGGTCCTATAAGCCTTAGTTCTAGAGTCTTGAACCCCTTTTCTCCCGTGCCGACAAACGCTATAACCAGTCCGATGGCAACGGTGCCAAGACCTACGTAGAGAAGGGCGTTGGCAGCTGCACTCTGGTGGGCGTAAACTACGTCTTCGTCTTCCGAACTGCTGCCACCGAACGACGAGTCGTGGATCTAAAGAAAACATAGGGTGAATAATGCTATGTTCAAAAATATCTCCTTCTATGACATTGGATACTAAAGTAGACATAATGAGAACATAGTTGATTGAATCTCTTTAAGAGTTTGTTACTATTGAAACTATACATCTAGGGTAGACAGCTAGGCAGCTGATTGGATATACAGTGCATGCCTCACAATCAGAAAGTTGCTGGTTCAATCCTGAGAAAAGTCAGACATTTTTTGATGGTTTGAAACTGAACCCAACTGTCCTTGATCAATGGGCTTTTGATGAACAGTCCTGGCTTAAGAACCAACTGATCTTAGGAATAGGTCTGTCATAGGTTAAAACCCATTCATCAATCATCATTCATCTACCTATAGATCAAATTGCAAAAAATATATTCAAAATAAATATGAGGGAATTCTATGTCAGCAATTGAAAATATCTAGCAGAGAGGACCTGGAAAGAAGTTATATGAGATAAAATAAATAAATTTATTATTAAAAACAATTAATTAACTTAATTTTTTTTACTTTTACTTAATTGAGTACAATTAAATTGAGTACAATAAAAGGTAAACCGTACTATTCCATAATAATCATGTAAAAAAATTCAGCTAAAAAGCATTTAATTAAATATCAGCTTGAATTCAATCTTGAAGTGAGCTCCACACAATGTACATGGATGGAAACTAAATATTTCAAAGCGTTCAAATAATAATTCTCACAAATTGAATAAACTGTGCAAAGCTGTCAATTGAAACAATTGATTTATGTCACTGTCAACATTGGGTATTCATCAACCTCTTTGATTTTAATGTTTGGATTGTTGTACATTTGGGTTGTTTAGCAAACTGTTTTATTTGGGTTGTACAAACAACTGTTGTATTTGGGTTTGTAATATTTGGATCGTTGTTTTCCACTGATCTAAAAGGATAAAAATATCATAAATTATACATGTTTTATTTAAAATAATTGAAAAAGACCAATGATGGGTATGAGCTTTGATGAACTATGGATTGAAGTAAATTTTGTAAATATCTCCATGTTATAAAGCTGTACTTTCTCAATTGGGCGTCAATAAAACAAAAGTATCAATAGTCATGGTCAATATGTGTGCGTTTTCGGATGGCAAAGTTTGAAACCAATACAATATAGTTAACAATACATAACCATACATTTTTTTACAATGTTTAGTAAAAACTTTTAATGTCAAAATTCACTCTCTAATCTCCTCATAAATTTGTAGGCCTATTTTATCGTGTGTAATTCCAATGCTATTATTAAGTCATACCATAGACAAGGTACAATTCTGTACTAAAAAGTCAATGGTAAAACTTGACCAACCAATGACAAAGCCAATAACTATTTTCAGCACAACGTCAATTTCAGTGAAGTAAAACCACTTACCAATACAAAAGGTTCGAAACACTATTAAGTAGGCAAGGGCAAGTGTATAAATCTCATCGGCTTGGGCGAAGGGGGAAAGGATTGATGTGTTTTGGCAAAGATTTATTTCTTTTTGACCTTTAAGCCTCGTTTAAATGCCACAGGAAGGTAAAGGACATAGTCATCCTGGCATTGGTTATACGGTACATTAGTAGTTTGGTCATCTGGAAATACCATTACAAACTTGAACATAAAGAGGATACAGTGTTGATGATGTAAAAGTGTTAAATAGTTGCCTATATTTCATCACTAGGGCGTAAAGTGACTTTTTTCGACCTGAGCGAAAGTTTAATGGTAATAAGCAAGGGTTGAAAAGCCACTTTTGCCCACAAGACAAACGATATTTTTTTTAGTTATATTGCTTTATTATTTTAGAAAACTAGGTCACAACACAAAAATAATTTAATATGAAGATAAGCTCCCAAAATAACTGTTTTTTCCTTACAAACTTCCAAAATTTGAAAATTTGAATGATCACTATTAAACAAAACATGAAAACAACTGTGTGTCCTAAAATGTTATTAGTAAGGGCAAAGTAAGTGCAAGGTACAATTTGCCTAAAATATGAGATGAACATTACTTAGTTGACACTCAAAATACCTACCTCAAAACATGTTTCAGGTTTTGTAATAGGTAAGTAGTCTACTTTTAGTATCCAAAGTCAATAGTCAATTTGTACCTAAGAATGTTGCCTCTAAGTTAGTTTTAGATGATCCTCCTTCTCACTTAGTTTTATTATGTCACTCCTAATATGTACTAACCTAACCAATATTATTTCATTAAATCATTTATGGCTAAACCCAAGTACGAACTATCCTTGAATTAGTTTTACGAGTACTTTCATATTCATGCACTTACCTCTACTAATATCCTTTAAATCACTTTTTTAAAAACATAGTTAATTATTATCATCTAGGACTTTCAAGGGCAATGACTAGACTGCACGCATTGAGAATGGTATTTTGAAGCTTTTATACTATATATAGATAGGTATTTGAAAAGTTTCTAGTGGATCTAAAACTATCACAGGTTTTGCTTCTGACAGGGTTTATGTAAGTGTTGTGTGAAGTGGATGTTGAAATGTGCTGTGTTCTAATCTAAAAACCTCTATTTTAAAGAATCCGCATTCCCCAATCTCTAAACATGTACCTAAATTACAAGTGTTCGGGACTACAGATAACCTTGGTTTTTCATACTTGGGTGGATAGGTAGATTCGATCATTGGAGATTGAAATAGGAAACTATCTGTTTGTGGTTACGAGTAAGATGCAATATTACAAATGAATCACAAAAATTATCATCATTTACTAGCACTTCCTGAAATAAATTTACCTTGCATGGTTGATACAATGGCTTTTTTTCTCGATTTTAGTATTGTGAAGGGATCATTATTTTTAGACTGACTGTGCATGCAATGTGTTATTCATTGGAATTTTAAAACTAATATTTTCCTTTAACAGCTGGCTGACATAGCCTTGCATAATTTTACTATAGGTAACAAAGGAAACACGACTGATGCAGCAAAAATTAGAGTATACTGGGAATTTTGTTAGCTACAAGCAAAAGTGAGTATTTCAATTTGGGCACGAACAAATGATAAACGGTTAAAAAATGCTAGCAATAGTCTGAAACTAACAGAAGGTAAGCCAAAAGGTGTTCAGATGTATAGTATTTTCATATTTTTGGAGAAGAAGACTTCAAAATTTCCTCTCCGATTTAGGTAGTCCAAAATTGGAAGTTGATCCAAGAGATTTTAATACGGCATCTTTTAGAGGAAAAGGCTTCAAACTCTCTCTCTCTCTCTCTCTCTCTCTCTCTCACTGCACCTATTGATAGTTTTCATCTAACAGATGCTGTTAATCTAATTTTTGGGACTGAATAAAAAAAAGAAAAACTATACACCACCAACACTTGGTGTTGGTTCATTCTCTCTCACCAACACTTCAAGGGAACTATGTAGTCCTACAGTCTACCTTCTAATACACATTTTCCGTGTACAAACACCTAAAGGATCGAGTGCTCCAATTGGTTATTGAGGTACTCAATCTTACGAGTTTCTCGGGATGGTAAACCGGACTGTTTTTCTTTCTACCCCCGTATCTTCCTTGGTTCTGCTTAGGAAAGATCAACTTGAATTTTCTCATGTCGGGGTTCACCCTCAATCCTGCTCTCTGGTGGGAAAAATTACATAGAATACAAAATGGTGGAAATGTTAAAAAAAATACAAACTCACTCAGGAGAAATTCGCTGGGAAATCCGCTAAAATGAGCATATTACTGCAAAATTATAACAACATTTTCCTTTCTGCCAATGATTGCTAAAATGTTGTCCTGAAGTAATGATCAAAATATGAAAACTTGAGACGTGTATCAGAATTATTGTTTTTGAATGTTATAAGAATCAGTAACTAAAGAATGGTTTTGATTGAAACAAAATCATTATCAAACTGATACTTACTTCCAGAATCAGGGGTTATTTTTCTAAAGAACAGAGTGAAAAATTCCGTAGAAAGATTGTAAAAGAACAAAATTTCATAATTTTTAAGGCAAACACAACAAAAAGTTAAAAAAATTGTACATCTTGGTGGTCTTACCCGGTTCCTTTTTATCCATCGTCCATGGGCCTCGCGTTGTTTCGTGCGATGTTGAGTAGCATCCGTCGCGGAGGTTCTTCTTTCTCTCTCCGACCATGCTGTTGCGGCTTTGCCCTGGAACAGATTCCAGCTAGGTAACACCATTGACTATATATAAAACACATCTCGCTTGTAACAGTAACAGTGTCGGAACTGTGACAAAGCACAGCATTATACTTTGGAACAGGTTTGGCTTTACCCTGGAACAGGTTATGGACTGATTACACAACACCTTCCAATGGTCATCGGTTTCTTTGAGCAGTAGTAATACGGAGTATTTTAAAAATAAATTCAGAAGTATAGTACAGATAACACAATTGAAGAATCAGAATTTTGTACATATATCACTAAACCACCAACTCCTATACACATATTTAAGTCAGTCATAGCAAAGAATAAAGATTCAGAACAATGAACATATACACTATCTAATTGATTGTATATACTAAAGTGAACATAATAATAATTTTTATCAACAGCATATAACAAGGACAAGTTGAAACATTACAATAACAATAAAACAAATTTATTTAGAACAAGCTGCTGTACCCGTGCTTCGCAACGGGATGATGTACAGTACTATACCGCCTAATCCAAAAACTTGTTAAGGAGTTTGAATTTATAAACAAAGAGTCACCAAATTTATATAAATAAAGTAGGATCTACAGTGAATTTTCCTACTGTTTACATTGAAATGTATCAATAACCATAATTAATTGTCATAACTTATGGTTATAGAATCTTTATTTAATTTCATAATCAATTACATAGTTTTAGATATATTTGTGTAAAATATTTTATTTAATTTGTTTAAATCAGCTGTCTGAAATTGTCAAAAAATAAGCATTTAGCAGTTCTGATTGTTTACATTGAAATGTCAACACAAAGGTTGTGAATTTTCTCATGCTTCGATGGAGACCAATTAATATTTACTTTTGAAAACCTCACCTAAAACTTTGGACATCCAAGGGGCGTAGCTCGAGAGGAACTCAGGTAAGTGGATAGGCATATGACATTCCTAGATATGTGGACCATCTTTAGGCCTATGCTTAATTTTGGCTGTCACGGTTTAGTATTTTAGTCGTGGCCGCCGGACAGACGCACAGACAAACAGACAGAAGGACACCACCTAAATTTTATAATAGTATGGATATAGATTAATAAATGAATAGGCTGCGCTTTACTTGACGTCCTTCGAATAAAAATATCGATCGATATATCGATTAATCGATTGCTTAATTCGATATATCGTTTGGTTAGTTAGGTAAGGTTAACCTAACCTAACTAACCAAACGAGATATCGAATGAAACAATCGAATGAAAATATCGAATCGAAAAAACAATCGAATAAGTCTAGGACGTCAAGTAAAGTGCAGCCAATGAATATATCTTTGGGATTGACTTCAATGCAAACTTTCTAACACATTAACTCAATAACGGTTGAACATATTTTAGCCAATCTTACCAAGGTTGTTTTTACAAATGTTTGGAAGGTTTAGACGACACCAATTTCAATTGTTGATAATGCCTATATAGTTTAAAAGTAACTCAAAGTTTTTAATTTTTTAACATTGGCGTTATGGGTTGCCATGATGGCTACGAAATAACGAATTAAATGTAAACAAAACAAAGAATCGTAAAAAATAAGCCACGACCTAAACACAGTACACAGGTGACAGGAAAATAATTCAGATGATGGCCACTGATCAAATAATTCAGAGAAAGTCTTAAATTTACATTTAAGTCGCAATTTGGAAACGACCACTGATCGAATGGGTACAGTATTTTACAGATTTGATTTATGTAGCTAAGTAAGGTTATAACAAATTAAAATGAAATTAAAATAAATGGGAATTAAAACAACTAGCCTACATGATTCTGCAAATTTAAATAACCAGGTATTCTCAAATTAGAATTTTTATATAAATAGGTTATTATGAACATGCTTTCTTATTATACACTTTGGAATATTTTTAATGATATCATCATGTTGGCAACACACTTGTTGTATTGATTGTTGCGTTGGCAACGACTTCGGGTAGGCCTATACAGGGTGAGTTTTAATTAATTGTCCCCCCAATTTTTTTCTACATTTTTTCTAATATCAATCCCAGACCACTTCCAAACATTGTTAGGTATTAAGTACTTCATTTTGACAAGGTGGTCATTTCCGGCCGCCATCTTAGATGCGCTATATTGGGTGCAAAATATTGTTTTTCAAATGTAAAGGTCGGGTTGTGACCCATTATTTCGAACTAGATTTTTACCCTGATTACAATGCCACAAACCGTTTTTAAAGATCTTTATCCATTCCAAAGTTATGAGGGCTTTTTATAACTTTATTTTTAGCCCATTTTTATGTGCATTTACAAACTAAGACCATAATCTCAAAATGGTGCTAGATAAAGATTATACACTACCAGTCATTGTCGACTTATTTCCACTTGGTTATGACGGATGTATTTTTTTCAGCCGCCATCTTGGATCCGCCATTTTGATATGTGATAAATTATTTTAAATGTGAAGGGGTGTTGTGACCCATCATTTCGAATTACTTTTTTAAGCTAAACTTAATGCCGCAATCCATTTTATGTTATCAAGTATTCTTTATGAAATATTGAAATTTTTTTAAACTCTGTTAAAGGCAACAAACATGTTTGTGAATAAATATTGGTGTACTAATGTAGCTTTGGTCTTTTGGTTAATGATGACAAAAAGTCTTCCCTGATTGAAATATTGGACATTGTCTTTGTCAAATATGAAAAGCAAATAAAGGTGTGTTATAAGCTTAGTTCTTGGTCTAAACCACTAAATTAGCACCCCGACCCAGGTATTATTTCTAAGTTTATGCTCCTTTCGTAAAAAGTTTTAACAAAATTATTGTGAAGTTAAGGCATCACATTGACCAAACTTAACCCTAGATTTGTTTCTGATCAACTAAAAAACTACTATTAGCCTAGTGTAAGTTTATGTGGTGGTACTCCTCCTAAAGGTGCGATTGACTTTACATATTCTATCAAAAGAGGGCCTAATCAACGCCTGATTACTATTTTGCGACTGGTTAGGGCTCCATTACCCAGTTATTGAAACCAATCACGAAATTACTTTAAATCAGCATCTTCGACATGCATATTTTTGGTTAGTTTTAAGAAACGGAAACAACCTCTAGGTTTTACTGTTATTTGCTGTTATATATGGATGCTCCCTTGACTACCATGCATGCTAGGCTATATGATATGAACATTTTTTGCTTGGAGCAACAGGCAGTACCTAGTAAAATCTCCTCCAAATAATATTGTTTTCTGCCCATTGGATCTTGTCATAGCAGGGTACTTCGTGGTACTTACCTAATAAACAAATACCTGTACGGAATGATTTCATATTTATTCCCAGGTTGTTTTCTAAGAGTGGTCGTTCAGGTTATTACACCTCATACAAAATATTGATTAAACGCAATAAATCTCAAATAAATTTACAAAAAAAGTGTAGAATAAATCTTTAACATATGTTTTGAAATCAAAACAAAGAACAAGTTTCCCATTTAATCTTAAATCTTTTATTATTTAGTCAATTTGGTTATTTCATGTTAAACATCCCTTTAACACAACAATAACCTTCAAACTGGAAGACAAAACTTCATTATTTTTTCAGCCACTCTAAGTTCAATGAGCCATCTCCTGTGATTCTACTACTTATTAAGGAACGCGGCAGCGTTCCGCCCCGCCAAGTCCCCCAGCGGTACACAGCTGCTGCAGTGTATATATACATGACGTGACAAAGTGGCTTTTTTACTCGTCTATAGCTCTGAAGAAACAAAAGCTATTAAAATAATTGTTCATCCACTAGATAGGGGCAATCATTCTTGGCAAAATAAAAAAAAGAATTTAAAAAAAGGTTGTGTTTGAGCCAAGAAAAACTAGTTTGAAAATTCACAAATTTTCCGTGTTCTCCTTCTTCTCCTTAAATGTTGACGGACCTACAGCCCAAACCACTGGCTCAATTTTAATGTTTTTTATGTTGTTTGAAAGCCCTTAGCGTGTAGATGTGCCTTTTGAGGGTCACAAGTCGGTGCGTTGACCCATAAACCCTTGGCAAGCCCTCAAAGTACGATTTTGGCCCATTTAAATAACATTGGATTAAAATCAAAACAAAAGAAGGATCAGCTGTGATTAAATCTCAATTAATTTAAAATGTTAGAGAAATTCATAGGATCAGCTGAAAAATTATTTTAAAACTTTTATAAAGTATTTTTTTCAGGTATACCGAATGATTTGAGCTACTTACTATATAAAATTACTTAGAGCAGTGATATTCCCCGATACTTTCCATTGAAAAATGCAGTGTACCGATGGTACACTGGTACAGCAGCTCGTCATTTTTAACAGTTTAATACTACTTATCAAAACATATGAAACCTAGGAACTTGAAACTTAGTACTAGTACTAAGGTTAGTTTTAACATTGTTTCTTCATAATATTGCCAAAATTTATTTAACTAAATAAGGTTAGTTTTATGTTTTGATACACTAAAACAAATAAAACAATTGGGAAAATCCGTCTACGTATGTTAAACAAGCAAAAAAGTGAATGTAAAAAGTGATATGTAAATTTAGGATAAAAATGAGTTTTTCAATATTTGTTTTGCCTTATGCTATTTCTAACAAACCTAATCTGTTTGATTACATTTTTACTTCTCTAATAAGGGCTCAATTTACACTAGTCTTTAGATATACGGGTTTAATTATCGGAACACTTATGTAACACCAATGCATTTTATGTGTAGTTGTGCCCTGGTCTATATATAAGAGAAAAGAGGATTTTTATTTTAACTGTTAATTTTCTACAAAAATAAATACAATCTAACAAAAAAACCACTAAGTGGTAACACTTCCCCCGCCAAGTCAGCAACCCAAAAAAGACAATAAATCACCACTTTTCCGCCAAGTAAAACAATGTAATGTATGTAAGTTTGGCCACTTGGCGGCAGACTTTTGCTTGATCACTTTAAAAAATACCATAAAATTAGTTCCATTGAGCAAGTATCTCTCCCAATAGTACATTGCTAGATGAGAGCTT